CAGGTCTACGGATTCAATGACTAAACCGATCTGATTTATTTGAGCACATTAAGAAATTACGGCTACACTACTTATTATATTTTTGGCAATATGCATCTTTCTTGCAGTTTAAAGAATTAGACTGAAAAGCACCCAGTGCAAGCTTTTTTGGTTAACTTGGGTTTTTCCAAATATCAATATTCCTAGATAGAATAATCATAATGAGCTGACTCATGCAGAATTGTACATTTAAAAAGATAAATCACATTTTAAAAATTGTCATTATTTACTCACCCTCATGTCATTTTAAACCTGTATGACTTTTATTCTTCTGCGGAACACAAAAGAAGATATTCTGAAGAATGTTTTTTCCAAACCAACCAATATTTTTCAAAATATCTACTTTTGTGTTTCACAAAATACAACACACAGGCTTGGAATGACATGAGGTGAGTAAATGTAAATCGAAAAATGTTCATTTTGGGTGAACTTATAGTTTAAATTCATAAACATACAAAATACAGCGATGTGGCTTTTTCTATGTTGTTTATTCTCGAGCACCAATCATTGCTTCAATATTATCTCATGTGTGTGATAAAAAAATTACAACACATATCATGTCTGTTTTAGCAGAGATTCAACATCAACCAAATGAACAGCAGACGTAAATCAGGTATGTCTGAAATCTATTTTAAACAATACAGACTGGCTGGAACCAGAATAGCCAGAGATTGGATTATAAAAAAATTATTTGTCTAATTAAAATTTTATTGTGAGAACCATTACAGATAGTGATGAGTGGTTAAATTCTGGTTAATTGTAGTTACTCTTCTGCAACAGATTTAAATGCTTCATGTCACAATGAAGCAGCTGAGGTGGAGGAAGTGTGCACAGGTTTTCTAATAAAGTCCCCTCCTCCTAGACAGATAAAAAATACGGTATAACATTTGGATTTCACACAGAAATATCACCAGTTTATATGTATCATCTATGTATCTAAGACGTTTTATCATTCATTGCAGAAATCATGGAAGAAACGCTACTTTGTGCTTTCAAAGACAAATGACAGCTGCCATGAGCTAAAATACTACAAAACCACTGAGAGTGCCAAACCTATCAAATCTATACAAGCTTCCACGTAAGGCGAAAGCTGCTGATTTCTTTTCACATAATCAAAACAGGTTTAGTATTATGTAGGGATATAATTCTTTTTTCTATGTAGCATCACAATGCTGCAAGTGCATCCTCAAACAAATCCAGTTTTTGAATGGATCTGTAAAGCCTTCAAGTGCTCTCCATCCTCTGTGCTCTTCATGAAAGCAGAAAATCCAGGAGACAAGGTCCCAAGAGAATTTTTCTTCATTGGCGACAACAGGTTTGTTATGATTACCATTGCTGTACCATAATTCCCATACTTAGCAAAAAGCTGCATTTAAAAAATGCAAATAATGGACAAAATAAATTAAGGTTAGCCCTTTTAGTGCTAATATATGGGATCTGTTGTTTTCAGTAAGGATGTGGATAGCTGGTTCAATGCTTTATTCGGGGCTATAAAGGTGAGACATTCTACTTTTTGCTTATGAGCTTAATAGCTTTAATTCAGTCATAATTCTCTTTGAAAAAATCATTGAACAATTAATTTTTCTTATTTTTCTCGAAATTAAAGTTCATTTTTATCATTTTTAACAACTAATTATTAATCAATGCAATTTCATGGGTCTTAAACAGTTCATTCTTCAAACTGTTTATAGAATAGCAAAATTGAGCCACAAACTGAACCTCAGAGCACGACAGAATCCAACTCCAATGACCAAAGCCCCTCTGACACTGAAGAGGTAATTCACAAACAATGTTTTCACATGCTTCTGTGATTTTGACTCAGTTCTCATAACTTCGCCTGAATTATTTCTGAGTTGTACCTCTCAATAAATGCAGAATGAAGTTGATAGTAAACCTCCACTGCCTCCAAGGAAGAAGTCAGCATCTGAAGATGTTCCCACCCAGCACGGTCAGTGTAGCCAATCGCCCAGAAGCAGCCCATCTGCAACACAGGTATGGCATAGTTAAACCCACAAACATACACTTTCACTTATAAAACCAAACACTTGCATCATAATTCAATATAACCACATACCTTTGGTTCAGGTGTATGAAAATCTGAAAGAAGAGGAACCACTGGATGAGACTGCAGTGGAAAGTAATGAGGACATGTCATCAGGGTATGACAAACTCTCTTTATGTATTTAAATCTAATTCTACCTCAATTGAACCTGTTAGAGTTAGACAGTGCTTATTTACCCTTAAAATGTAACATTAATCTTTAGATTTGAATCCATTTGTGTCCTTCTTGAATATACAGAAGGTGGTATAACAGACCAATTTGTCTTTGATTTTGGCCTCATTTTATGCCATCATTTGCGATTTAATGTTGCAATGTTCAAAAGCTTATTTATAGTCAAGTATAAAGTATCATTTTGCACAGTCATTTACAAATGTACTTTGTGTTCACACGAGTTTGCCTATTGTTAGAGGCTTGATTTTTTTTTAGACTCTCAGGCTTTGAGCAAATGATAATTGCTTTTCTCTCCAGGACGAGTGTGACTGGTACATCTGAAGACAGTCTGTTGGATTATGTCACAAAAGCCTTCAATGATATGAAGACACCACAAATATCCACTGAGTCAGATGGAGAAAGGTAAAACAACTGACAAATTAAATTTCAACAGACTATTGCTAATTTCTGCATACTGCTATTTGTCACATTATGAACAATTTCTCAGGTTCCCTAGCCTAGAGAATAAAAAGCTTTGTGTAAAACCTTAAGGGATTTTTTTTTTTTTACCTGAGCTGTCACAAATCATCATGCATCACACTTTTCAAAAGTATCCAGCAGTGATCTTACCCAACTAGTTATTATTACTCATATTACAAAGGCGAGTCAGAACAAATTTTGCAACCAACATCATTTTTAAACTATGTTTTGTAGTGTCTTAAACCGTTAAAATCTCACCTTAAAAAAATCAGCACCACCATAATGGGTCGTCCCTCATTGTCATCCTAGGATTTATGGAATACAAGAAACCTCTTGCTTTGACTTCAATGGAAACTGTGCCTCCACTAAGCTGAACAGGTCAATTCTAGGCAAGAGGTGTTTAGTACATCTGTAGAAGACCAATTCAATATATAAAAAAATATCCTAAGCTGCAGAATTTAGCTGTCAAACAACTGGGGTTATGAAATTGTGGTTTTGGAATCTAGTTACATTTTGAGTTACATGTTACATAGTTACATGTTTTCCATTCCTCAGTGAAACGCACACCTTTATCCAGAAGGAAATCTGCATAAGTCATCATGATGCAAACATCTTGGTTATTTCAGAGGAGGAGGGAAAACCATGGTACGATTCTCACAGATAAATTAAAGATTTACTGGACATGTTGGGCTGAGCCCAGAAGCATCATATCCTTGTGCTCTCTGGTTCATGCAAGTTTGTTTGGATTAATTTTTGCTATTATTTCCCATTTCTTTTAGTGTATCTAAATGTGGGGAGATTGAGGCTTCATCTCTGTTCCACAAGGGAGATCAGATCCTGGCTGTCAATGACCTGTTGACAGACACAGTGGAGGAGGTACAAACATACCTAAGAAAACTCAGCAAGAGCGAGGTAGTCATGAGTCAGAGTACAAGAATGATTTTGTAAATGTAATCAGAGCTAAATGGCTATAGTTGCTTACACTTTTTTGCTCTCTTCAGGTAAAACTGACCATCCAAAGGCTCCCGGGCTCCATTCCTTTGAATTCTGAACCCTGCTGAGGACAAAAACAAAATCTCATGCTGTGCTATGGTTCTTTGGCCTTTTTTAGGCCTTTCAATTCTCTCTTAAAATCAATGTGAATTTTTTTCTCTATGGGGAATAGCACTGTGCTGGCAATCAGTAGTCAAACAGAATGAGTTAAAAGTGCTGTAATGTAGTATGACTTCTAGTCTCTCTTTTGGTGATTTCTGAAACGCTTCACTGACATTTATGATTTGTTAGTGCCAGGTCGTACAGGACTGAATGTATTGCTTTTCACACAACCCTGAAGGGCATACAGGCTGTCGACAGTAAAACAAGTAGCTCTTGTTTTCTTTTGTGCACTGAGACTTGCTGAGCTTTTGTCATTCTAAAAATATTAATCACAGGAATGAATTTCGATACTTGTCATTTTGCACTATTCTGTACATCAGCAAGGTTGAGGCAATAGAAACATTAAAACAAGTTTAAATAGAACTTTCCTCTAGCAGTAAATGAATGTTAGATAGCACTAAGGTAGGTTGAACAGTATTTTTCTGATCATCTTAGAATATCTGTGAATCTGTGTACTGAAATTGCATTTAACTGCAGTATATTTTGTAGCCACATGGTGGCAGACTAACACAAACTGAGTTGTATTAAAACTTGATCTTATATTCTTATAACCTGAATTCTGATTGCTCCTATTCAGCATATAAATTCACATCCAATTATCTTTTATTATATTACTTTAGCAAAGAATGTTGTTTTATAAACTGACAGCTGCATTATTGCAGTTGCATTGAAACCTGTCATGTTGGTAGGAAATCCAAATGTTTTTTTGTTTTTTTCAAATTGAAACGAGGTTAAGATAGTATAATGTAATAAATGCATGTAAAAAAACAATTTACTAAAGAACTGACACCGTTCAGCACGCAAATAACTTTTCTTATGAAAAAATATCTTGTACATGCATAAATGACATAAAATGTGATTTAGAGAACAAGATCATTAATGAAACAAGTGTAAAGTGGATAGAATTTATTTCCTTTAGAAACACTTTTTTAATATATAAAACCGTCAAGAGCAAAAAAAAATTAAAAAAAAAATAAAATATGAGGGCATATGTGGTCAATTCCTGCATTAGCCACCAGTAAGGGGAGCCATTCATAAAAGGCAACACTTTTAACCATCACACAACCAGCACTTAAAAAGGCAGGCTGGAAGAAACACCTTTTTTTTTTTTTTCCAAATGTAAGAAGGCAGTCCAAAACTCTCTTCATTTGAAATGGTCCACTGAGTAATCCTGGTCCAATCAATAAAGGCACCGTTTGACTGTTTGGCCAAAGGTTGGATCGTGGATGTCAGTTTACTTTATTGCCTTGTTCCACAGCTTGAGTTTCTCAGGGCACATGATGCTGAGCTGAGGTTTCTGGGTTCAGTCTGCCACTCACGGAAAAAGCCCTCCATAGCTTTCCTGCTCCTCCAGCTGCCCACATTCACCGTGGGAATTATCTTTTTCGGCTGCAGCCACTGCACAAAACGCTTCAGCTCAAGAAAACTGCTGTGCTCACTGTAGGGAATACCTGGAACAGATAAGTATAGATTAGGAAAGTATCTCTCAAAATCTTTTGAGTAGCTGGGAAAACCTATTTATGTCCTGATCTCCTTGCTCAAAAGACCAACCATGATTTCTGCTGCTTAAGCAGAGTCACACTCTAGTAGAGGGCTGCATTGGGTTTGGGCTCCCATGTGACCCAACGCAAATCTCGTGGAAGCGGGTGGTTTTACCTTTGCTGCAGGCGGGAGTGGGTGGTCAGAAAATTTCGCGGGAGACCCACAGGGAACGGTGGGATTTGGCGTGTGATAGAATGGAGTCAACACATTAAGAAGAAAATTAAAGCGGCTGTTTACTTGACAAAAGCAAAGCAAGGCAAGTCAGACATATGGAAACAATTTTCAATTGTCACTGAAAAAAAATGGGAAAGAGTAAAACTGTGTAAGTTGCGATAGATGTTCAAAAGTGTTCGTTAACAACGGACATAAATCTGGCACCTCTGCTCTGAGGCGACATACCTATTTTCTAAGTTCTATGTGTTTATTTAATAAGTTAAAGTTATTATATATTGTGCTTTGGCTTATTTACTTAAATCTGTTTGTTAACAGTTAAACTGTTTGTTTAGTTAATCCTTTGGTGCGTGTATCATGCAGTACGTTTAAAAACTGAGGTGCCGCTAGTTGTGGTTTTGTTTTAACGGTTAATCTTTTATAACGCTAATAAAAAAATACCCAATGTTTTTGTCACATGTAGTGCTTTGGTTTAGCATTACTTCATCTTGTTTCATGTTTAATGAAATCATCTTCTGAGAGAAAGTCCGTGGGAGCGGGCGGGAGTGGACAAACATTGCAGGCATGGGCAAAAGGGTCTGGCTGCAGCCTCGCACTTGCACTCTCAGACTTGCATTCTCAGACACTTGCGCTTCCGCTAGCGACGTCACTTGCAGTCTTTTTTATTTTTTATTTTGTTCTATTTTTTATT